CACAATATCAAGAAGAGATCATGTATTAAGCAGCCACTTTTAGCTGAAAATTACCAATTGTCATTTTCCCACAAGCAAGTAAGCAACACAAAAAGCAGATTGCACAATTAATTAATAATCATAAATAAATCAGAGATAATTCTGCAAAAACTAAAGACTATTAAGATCAAGATTAGGAGCAGAAGTTGATCCAATTGAACCTTGTCGATTCTCATTACTACGATTATTAGGAAATATGATGGGGACATTGTTTCTGAACTCGATTTCCGTAGTGAAATCTTCCAATTCGAAAACAGGAGCCCATCCGACGACTACTCCCGATGCTATTGCTGCCCTCCTTCTTCTCTTGCTCTTCTTACTTTCCTCCTGCAGCAGTTGGTGCAGTCGATTCCTCATCGTCCTAACCATCGCCGATAATTTCTCATCTTCCTTTTTATTATCCCTGCAGGAGCAATTCTTGCTCTGCTCCATTTTAATTTTGTTTGTTCTTCACTACTGTATGTTAATCACTATTTAACGAAGTTACTAATAATAAATAACAGCTGGTCATGAATAGAAAGGAATTGCACGCAAGACTTGCTGTGGACTGCGTGGAATTTTATAGCCCTGAATAAAGGCCGCCATGTTGATGTCGTGCGTGCCCTGACGTAGAATGAGTCTACGTCATCCGACACTGTTTGTGACGTCACGGTTCATTCTATATATATACATTCACCAAGATCTGATCTGAGTAATAATAATATTTTATGAATTTCTAATTAATAGAGGAAAACCTTTTGTCAACCTACCACATCATCTCTGTTGATCATGAAAGATTTACTTACATTCATTTTTTTACATTGTAAAATTATGCCAAACTTTTTTTTATTCTTAAATATTCATCACATATTTATATGAATATTATATATGTATATTTTTACATAATTTGGTTATGACTTATGAGTAGGAATAATTGATCACCTACCTACATCTTTAGAAGAATGTCCAAGTATATTAAATGTAAGTCCTAAATGAAATATCTTATCTAGCGAAACTATTGATTATCATACTGGAGCTAATGAATATTATAATCGCTCATGTTTGACTTGACTCGAGCTTTAGTTATTTAGGCTTGCAAAAAATTTGTTTTTTTATTCATTTTTTCTAATATATAAGTAGGCTCAGTAAAGCAAGACTGATTAACGAGCTGAGTTCTAACTAATATAACGTCTGTCTAACATAACAAGTTGAGCTTGACTTGATTCGATAAGAGCTACTAAATACATGATGTGACTCGTATAAAATTGTCTCAATTAAATGCTACCCTTGATTTTGGACTCAAATTAATACGACATTTGGTCCAATGCTCGCACTATTCATGAAGTAAGATAATTGGTAAATTTTGGGTAGGCCGCGAGTTGAGGTAAATACGATATTCATGAAGTAAGATATTTGGTCAAATTAATACGAATTTATTGTGCGAGGCCGCGAGTTGAGGCTAAACCGCGAAATTCATGAGCTTTCCCTTGGACGCTACCCCGCGAGTCCACCATCCATCTGGCCGCGAATCTCACCTGCTTGGCCGCGGAAACCCTGTACGCTGCGAGTTCGAGCTAAGGCAGCGAACACTTGCAACCGGCGAAGATCTTGTAGCCTCGGTTTTATTTGAGTTGAGCAACCAACGTGTGGTGTGCCTCTCTGTATTTTGATTAGCGAGTGAGGGACCGGATTGTGTCCCTCCACTTAGCTCTTGTATACTGTAAGACGGTTGATGTAAATTACCTTCGATATATAAATTTATTTAACGATAAAAAAAAATATGCACCATTTATGTGTATATTTGCGTCTTTCTCTCGCACCTTTTTTTTTTTTTTTTTTT